AAATTTAGTGAACACTCCCGAAGCTGAAGAGAACGTTTCGGCGCCGAAAAATGCATTGGGTTTGGCTGCTATGGTGAAAGCGTTCGGTGAAGAGCGATTGAGTGCCGCATCGGCTACAATTGCGGGAAAGTTGTCGCGAGTCGCGGAAGTGCCCGATGTAGTTGTTGAAGAACTCGCGGCTGTGGATTGTTCACATTGCGCGGAGCGCCTGCCTTCGATTTTGGTAAGTTGATGATTATTTGAAGTACGGCGTCTTGACTTAAAAGAAATGTTACAGGCTCTCTCGAGTCACTACGAGGCCGCACACTCCTCCATCATCCCTGACTCGGTCGTCGAAGCTTTCGCCGAACGGTTAGCCGAGGCCATTCCCGAGCCTGCACCACCTACGACGAATGGCCATCACAACACATCCCCTGCTGCCAGCCAACCCGCCAGGGACGACGGGGAACCCCCCGAGAAACGACCACGGTCTGCTGCTAGCGTTGCTGGTGAGACCACCTCTAGTCGAAAAATCTTGGTCTATTCAAATACTTGAGTTTCAGATGCCCCAAAGCCTGATCTCGCCCAAATGGCTATGCTCACAATGATGGGTGGCTTCCCATTTTTACCACCAAATCCATTGGGCGGATTTGTGCCTGCGATGGGAGAATTTTTTAACCCACTAGTAGCTCAGCAGGTGAAATTTTTTCTTCTAAAAATCTTCAATTTATGGGATTTCTTTCAGATGCAACAGCTCTCATCATCTCCAGCTAAGCGAGCGCGAACGCGGATTACTGATGATCAGCTAAAAATACTGAGGTTAGAGTTCCACCCAAAAATTCTTTTTGGAGTGAAACTCCAATTTTTCAGGCAATACTTTGACATCAACAACAGCCCATCCGAAGCACAAATTAAGGAGATGTCTATCAAAGCAGGACTTCCTGAGAAAGTGATCAAGCACTGGTTTAGGAACACCCTTTTCAAGGTATATATCTAACAAAATTTTGCTATTTGAATCATTATCGAGAGAACAAGTTTCTCGCGAATGCTGGTGACCCCTTCAACCAAATCATTTAATGGGAGATTAATTAATTGAATTACCTAATTGATTCAACCTAATTAGATCAATTTATTTCCTAGGCGGGCAAGATTAGTTCCGTCAGATAATCTTGATTTTCCACAAAAAAAAAGTTGCTTGTATAAAATGAGTTATGCGTGGCAATTTGCAAAGCAGTCAGTTCTGGGCTGAATTGTAGGAAAATTTGCACACTGCAGGAAAAGAGAAAATATCGTTTG